TGTTCCAGCTGAAACAGGTCTCTGGCCAATGTCTATGTAGGGAATGGGCCCAGCCCAATTTGCTGATATAACTCAGAATTGGAGAGAAGTGGAATTTTAGAGCCAGGATATAATTTTAAGTCTAGCTCTCCTCACTTTGTTGGGCATTGAGTCTCAAAAATACTTATGTCTCCAGGCACTGGGCAGACAAGTGGCATTTACACCCAGGCAGGCATCTTGCTCTGTATCATCAGGCATTTCTGAGGCCCATTATTTTGGTTCCCAAAAGTGCTTACTTTCCCTCCAGAAGGTCTGGTCTGAGTTTGGAAGGCCTCTGAGTAGTTGCATCTCACACACTCATATGAGTCCATGTTGCTTTTGCCAGTCACACAGATCTTGGTGGCCTTCAACAGGCGGATGCTGGCTGTGGAGACAATTAGTTGGGAAGTTGTTTCATTGACACTTATGTGCCTCACATAATACTCTATGATTGAAATGCTTTGTCTCACTTAGTGTGAACCATGGTATCCAGTGTGGAGATGGGATGAATGGGGCTTTGGGAGTCTTGGGTACTCTGCCTAAACTTTTGCAGCTAATCACTAGTAGGTGCACACCTAAATTGCAAAGCCCTGCTCCCTTTAGGTTGGCCTGAGTTATACAAAGTGCCCATGGTTAGTGATGCCATATGTTCCCATTCTAGGTCTCTTGAAGGTGACAAATTGCTTGGTGGTCTGGGTCTATACATATTTATTCTAAGACTGTCTTCCAGTGCATGCCTATGGGTACTTCTGTTAGATATGCCTAGGAATGGAATTAATGGGTCCTATATACACATATTTATGGTTTAGAAGACACTTCAGGCTTTAGCTTTGACTGCTTTTTTTTTTCCTACAAAGACTGCCCAAGCATCAGCACCAAACCATGCCTGTTTTGACCACCCCACATCCATGCAGACCCTTGTTTCTCATGAGTCTGTTTCTCTATCCCTACCTTTCCAAGTTCACTTTAAAGTGCATAGTGACATCAAACAAAGCCTACCGTAGTATCTCACAGGAATCTCTTAGGGCCCTGGTCCTTACAACCCACAGCACTCATATAGGGCACAGCTCCCTTTGAGGTATCCCTTGACATTGCTTGTGGCTGCCTCTCCTACTACCCTGAAAAATGTTCTGATGAAGCCTGTTACTAACTTATTTTCCCAGAAAAATGGATCCTTCCCCTGGCTCTTCCCACCACCACCTTGAGTTTTTTGAGACACAGTCTCACTCACCCTGTGGCCCACTGTCCTGGAATCCAGACTGGTCTCAAACTTGCAGCAATCTCCCTGTTTCAGTCTCTCAGGTGCTGGGCAAGTGGACCCTTGACTAAACTCAAGTTTAATGTTGGCAAGTGGAAACCACAAGCATAAGCTTTAGGGTTCCGGGGTTGGCTTATCTAAGGAATTTACATGTTGCTTTCTGCATAATCTGGAGGAAATGCCAGGACTTTCATGATGTCATTTGGGAAGTGGAAACAGTCTAAACCAGAGTTTTTCCTAAACTAGGGGACTCGTGCCTTCCATGAAGTGTGACTGCAGAGTGGCACTACTCATCAGTGACTGCACATTTTCCCAACCAGCAGAGGCCAAGCAAGACCCAACCACCCATGTGCTGTCTGTGCTTCCTTCCAATCACATCAAGCCAGGGGAGCCCCCAAATCCTACCCTGGCTTTGAACCTCTGGCTTCATTTTGTTCTTCCTTGTGCTTCCGTGGACATGGTTACAGATACTACTGTATTGCTTCTTGGAGTCCTGCTGCTTGTGTTTGTGGCATCTACACAGACAGAACTCTCATTGTTGAGTTCCAAAGTTTCTGCTTTGTGGTTCTTTTAGGCTCTTGCTCATCTGGATGCTGTTCTGAACAGTGCTACTGTACACATGCTAGGATGTGGCTTTCAGTGTACGTATATCTGTGGTATCTGCCTAAGAGTGGCATTAATGGGTCCCGTATCCTCACATTTCTGGTTTAGTAGGTACTTTGATGCAAACTTACCGTCTGCCCGGAGTATCCAGCTTATGTTCATCAAAATAGAAAAATCCTCTGGTGCAACACTTTTTTTAACAAGTTCCACTTGGAGGTCCCTCAAGTCTCCTGGGGTGAGAGTGTGTTGGACCATCCACTCTGGAGATGGCCCTGGGAAAAGGCAAGAATACTTCCTATGACCCTCCTGTTTCCAGCCCAGGCAGAAGTTATTTCCTCCAAGTGATCTGTCCTATTCTATCACAAGTCACTTCTGCTAAGGAAAGCCAAACTTATTCTGGATGCTGGCTAATTTATATTACCTGAATACATGTTCTCAGCCTTGTGGTCCCAAACTTTACAGCACTTGGGGCATTCCAGGTACGTGGGTTCGTGTGTGTGTGTGTGTGTGTGTGTGTGTGTGTGTGTGTGTGTGTCATGTTCACTAATGTCAGTCCTGCTTTCTCCATGCCTCAGCCCTAAACTCCAGCCAGCTAGCCCATACCATGACTGCTTTCTCAACTGCTCACCTTTGCTGCCACACCCCTTCTGCTCACTCTTCCTAGTCACATTTCTTGGGCAAACCCACTCTTTCTTCAAAGGCTACCATTCCGGTACCTATGTGTAAAACATAGTTTCCTAGTCCCAACAATACATGATGTGGCCCCTCCCACCTCAATCAATGCCCCCAGTGGAGAGGAAGGTACTGCTTCCCATTCAGTACGGTGAGTTCCACTTTACCTGTGAGCTAATTCACTGGAAGGCCAGCCCAACTCAAATATACCCTCACTTCCCAAATTCTGCCTTCACAACCTCAGACCCAGTAGCTAACAAGGCAATGCATCACCATGTGCCTGGTCTACCGTGACCCACTGCCTGATTCAGACCTTCTTAATGTCCAACTGTTCTTCCAAATGCCCATTCTCTAATGAACCTACCAGTCTCAGAGCCACACTGAATAGTCTGCAGGAGAGAGAAAAACCAAATGTCATGTTGAAGCCAGCAAACCACAATGATTATTTTACCAAATTAGGCAAAACACTATCTTTTTCCTTAGATGCATACACAAGTGACAAATTTTCAAAGAAAAGATGAGCTGGGAGCTAGAGAGACGGCTCAACAGCTAACACAGCATGCCATTCTTGCAGAGGACCTGTGTTTAGGTCCCAGCTCCCACACCAGACAGCCTACAGGTGCCTAAACTCCAGCTCAGAACTCATTACCTCATGTTCACAGGCATGTGTACATATGCACCACACACACACACACACACACACACCTTCCCTGCCTCAGATTACTGATGATCATTGTGAGGAACCTTAACTGTCTAATGTTTAACTGCTTGTTTTCAGTATAGTGTAATATGTATTGATTCCTCCAAGTTAACTTTTGGCCATACAAATAGGAGAAGAAAGAAGGTAGCAATGGATGCAGCCCTCTATACCTCCTCCAGGCTCATCTCATACTTCTTTTTTGATATAGGACTCATCTGAGCTACTTACAAAACTATGATTTCATCACACCTTTCTAAAACAGCTTTCAAAAAGGTAAAACTCATCAATGTCTAATAAAATAAACCCTTTGAAGTTTACCTAAAAAATAATGAATAGTATGATTTGGGAATAGTATATTGAGCCTAAAACATTTGTTTTAGTTATTAGCAATCTTCAGTGGCAAGATGCAATGTGGCAAGCCCAAAGGACTCTAGGATCCTAGCTTTCTCATTTCCAAAAACCTTGTGAAGGGAAAAAATAAAGGTTTTTTTGGTAGGGCAAATTTGGTTTGGGTAAAGTCATCCATGGTCCTTCTCTTTGTGACATTCTTTTTAAACAAATGAGTTCCACTAGGAACTAGGAACTAAGATCTGGTTGAGACAAGGTATAGTGAAAAGTCAAGCAACAGGGCGACCCTTCAAAAAATTCTTTCAATTGTCCTCACAGCAAAAGCTCCCAAGAAAGTTGTTATTCTGCACAGAAAGCAACGGGGAGTAGCTGAAGGCTCGAGACACCATATACTAGCTTTGACTTTCCAGTCTTAAGGACACGATTATCGTGTGAGCTGGGCACGCATTACATCTAAATGCCTTTCTGAGGAAGAGGCTTCTCCTCCTGAAAAACAACTAGAAAGATTCCTTCATTCTAGCGGACTGGAAGGAAGGAAAGCTGCCTTCAGGAATCAACGTGGTCCAAGACCGAAAGGAAAAGCGAGCAAGCAGACAGGTGCAGTGTGTTCTGATGACCCATTAAGTGGGCATCACATCTGTGAGCAATGCTGTCTAGTCATCATGAACCAGGCAGTGAGGTGTGCCACCTGTGTGAGTTGAGTACTACCCTTTTATTAAGGAGAACACTAAGGCTAGATGAGCCCAAATGCCCAGGACAGATCTTCCAGACTAGGAGTAGTGGGATGATGAAAGTGCTGGGCCCATTATGTTTATCTCAGGAGTGCGAATCTGGCCCCTTCCAGAGGATGGTCCATGAACAAGTTCCTAGAAACTTGGGCTGGCAGATCAGGGCTCAGCTAAAAGAATGGGAGACCAAGAAAAATGGAGCTCACAGAGGAGGGGGATACTTACCGGCTCTCGGGGCAGGGAGCTCTGGCACATTGCAGCCAGACTCAGCAACACCAGCAACATGACCCGGCCACCGCCCACCACCACGCGGAGCCCAGGCGGGCAGCCCAGGGTCCTCTTATCCAGGCGGCCGCCCGCGGCAGCACTTTCCCGGCTCCGCCTCTCACAACGCTGCCCTACCCTAGTCGGGGCGGGCGCTGGCCTTGTCCCAGGACCGTAAAGTGGCATCCCTGTCGCCCGCGGGGCTCGCGGGCGTGGGCGGGGTGCGAATGACTCGGGCCAGGAAGGACTAAGGAAGCTCCAGCAGCGGCAGCGCAGGTCGAGCCCCGAGAACAGGTGTGTACTGCAAGCTAGGTGGGGCAACCGCGCCCGCACCCGGGGCCCTTCCCGAGGACACCACGCGACGCTCCGGGGCGCCAGTTAAAGCGGGCGAGGACCGGCGGCCACTGTCTTCACTGTGTGCCGGCTCCTGCTCTTTGGCGGCGACCATCCCAGCCCAGGTACGGAGTAGCGAGCTTTGGGCCCTAGGCTGGATGGGTCTGAAGGACCTGGAGTCTCCTTTATCCAAAAAGAGTCCCAGAAAGAAAAGTGGGAGGGACTCGAGACACCGAAACCTCCTTGGCTTCTTTGAGGGAGCCAGATACAGGAACTAAACAGTTACAAGGTAATAGTGATAGGAATCTCCACCCCGGCCGCTCAGGTTTTCTGGTTAAGTGTATTTCTATAGGAGGAGGTCTGGCGGTTACATCTGCAGGCCTGGCCCGAAGCTCGTGTCTCAACACTGTGGGTTCAGAGCTGAAGTTCTGACATTTGGTCGGCGGCTGCCTGAATGAGATCTGCAGGATTCTCCACCTCTCAGATCTTAATTGTGGGAAGGTGGCCCAGAGCCATTCTTCTGAGATGAAATGGCTTGAGACAGCACTAGTCCAGTACATTTCGGATTAGAAAACAGAGTCTGGAATTCAGCCGCTTCAGCCCTTCATAGGTCATTAAGTGTTGAGATTACCAAACTTGTAGGTAGAGGGGTTGGAGAAGTCCTGTTTGTCTTGTCCCTGTTGAGAGGTTGGGCTGACTCAAGCAGCTGTGTTTGCTGAAGCCCTACTGGGATATAGACTCAGTTTACCCATGAGACTTGGGTGAAGGTTCTGTTTTTGATCACATGGAACAGGTCCAGTCTCCAGCCTCTGTGGGATTGCAGGGAGTCGTTTCCTGAGAGAATTGTTTGGATTTCTGACCAAGGAGGTTCACAGAAAGGAGGTGTAACCTCTCCCCCACCTGGAACTGGACCACCCTGGGCCCCTTCCTTAGCCTTTGCGCGTTTCTGCTGATCGGTAAACACTTGCCAGCTACCAGGGTGCAAAGGGTGAACAGCTGATGCGTACTCCTGAACTGAAGAGGAGTGCAGTGACAGGAACGTTCAAGGCCAAAGTGCCCGCCCTGAGGGAAAGCAAAGTGGGGGCGGCCATGCTTTCCAAGTCCAGTCTGAGAACTTTGCCTCATGGGGATGAGGAATGGGACAGTTTTGGAAAACAACGTGTGTGTGTGTGTGTGTGTGTGTGTGTGTGTGTGTGTGTGTAGAGCAAGCAGGGGAACACTTCCTCTGTGTGTGTGTGTGTGTGTGTGTGTGTAGAGCAAGCAGGGGAACACTTCCTGTGTGTGTGTGTGTGTGTGTGTGTGTAGAGCAAGCAGGGGAACACTTCCTGTGTGTGTGTGTGTCGAGAAAGCAGGGGAACACTCTCAAGATGAGTGAGTTATAGCTGATGGCCAACATGTGCTCATTCAGTGAGTAGCTGAGTGCCAATACCTGGCCAGGCTTGGTGCTCGCCTGGCGGAACACCCTGCTGTAGTAAGCTCAGGGCGAAGGTCAAGGGTTTTGGAACAGCAGGGATAGAGGGGTTCAGGCCTAGGGACAGGTCTGTGAGTCAGCCATTTCTTTGCCCTTGAGGGGTAAAGGTGGGTAGGAGGCATTTCATGTAGCACAAGAACTCTTGGCGTCACATGAACCCCAGGGTGGCCTTACCTGACCTTGGCAAGAAAAGGTGGTGTAAACATGAGGAAATGGCTTGCAATAGTGTCTATAGGGTGGTTTGGTTTTGAGAAAGGGGCCAGGTTGGGTTCCTTCTGGAAGAGAAGAATCTAGTGGCAAAGGGGAGAGGAAGAGTGAGTGAGATGATGGTGGGAAAGAGGGAGGGATATGGGAGAATGCTCAGGCAAGAGTGCCAGCCAACACAGCCTGAGCAGGCCCCCCACCAAATGACCCTACTCTGCCTCTGAGACGGGAGTGTGTACCTGTGGCCTGTGGTCAGGGCATCAGAGTGAGCAGTGAATGGAAAAATAAACAGGGCCCTGCGGTGGCAGATGGGGACACACCTGGGCCAAGAGGATGGGCCTGTCTATCTTCAGGAATTTCTCTCCTGCCTCAGGCCCTCCCCGCCCTCCAATGATCCGTGTTGATTGATCATGCAGTCTCTAAGGTGATATGCTGGAGAGGGCCTCTTGCTTAGATGCCTATTGCTGATAACCAAAGGCAGAGCCAAGGAAGCGGAGAGGGCTTAGCTGCGTCTCCTGAATGTGTGGCAAGCTACTATTCTCAGAGTCTCAGTTTCCTGTACAATCAAGAGTGAGCTGTGATAGTGAAGAGGTGACTGGAATCAAAAGGAAGCAATCTTTGGAGACTTTCCACATGCTGCCTTTAGTCATGCTTTCAGTTTGCAAGTCTACAAGAGCCACCGCATAAGACATCTTCATGCCCAGGGGCTTGGTGCGTGTCTGTTAAATTCCAGAATAAATTATCATGTGCCTTCCTCCAAGGCCATACCTAACTCTGCACATTAAGGAAGATTGCTTTGGACTTCTAATATCATGTAGGGAAGGTCACAGTTGGGTCCAGGGCCTGGAAGACTGTCCATCACCCAGATGTCTAACAGTCTCTGTGTTACCACTGCAGCTGAGACTCCAAGAGTCACTTGCATCTCTTGGCCATGAACAAAGCTATTGGTCTCGTGCTACTTCAGTTTCCCCAGTGTACCTATGACATTAGCTTTGTCACTCTTAACAGGATCAGCAAGGAACTCAGAAGAAACCAGAGTCAGGAAAGCAAGTTGAAGGGTTTAAATTTGATGCATAGATGTAGAACAGGGGACATAAGACAATTTTTTTTTCTTAATTCTAATCATCTCCATGTTCTCAAATGTGGAAATTCCCTTGGACATACAACCTTTGTTAACTCTGCTCTTTCCATCCTGGAGAGAACAAGGCTGTGAGGGTTGTTGACATACCCTGAGTCTAGCTAGCTCCCACCCACACAGGTGGAATTTTCCACTTTGTTCTTTTGCAAATGTTAATCAAGTCTCTGGGCAGTTAACAGTGGATTCATTGTTTTGTGTTCTGGTGAAAACCAACTGCCTGCCAGGGTTCTTGGGCCCGCCCCTGAAGCAGCCCCTGAACCAGCCACTGGAGCTTTCCAACCTCTCTTGCTACCTCTGCCCTGTTCCACTCCAGCTGTTTGGACTTGGCCTTGGCTCATTTATTGTGGGCTTTGAGCCAGAGACCCTGAGGTCACCCAGAGCTTGCACTCCTTGATTTCTAGTATGGGTATAAAACTCCAGACAACCTCTGCCCCAGCACAAGGGGCTGGCACAAAAGAACCCAGACTCAGGCATGATTATAGCTCAGCGTTAATGCCACCTCAGCCAATTCTAGAGGGTGAAGCCGTGTGGGGCATGGCCTGTATGATCATGGCAGTGACCTGTCTTGTAGACACTTGTGTTGATTTCCATGTTTGTTGTTACACACTGGGGCTTCTAAGAAAGTACAGACCACAGAAGAAATGGGTACCCTTTTTCCACTCAAAGCCTCACTACAGGTGGAATCAGCCTCTTAGGGATGCAAGGAAAAGCAGTTGGCACTGTGCTGAAGTATAAGGCATGATGTGATGTTTTTTGATCACTGATAGTCAGATTAACCTGTAGTTGATATTATTATTAGTTGTAGTTGTAGGGTCACATGTCATAGAAGAAAAAATGGAATGCATCAATGAGGTTAAGTAAGGAAGGGGGAGGGGGATAGAGTTCAGGACAGGAACTGTGAACTCCATGTGCTTGGAGCTTTATATTTTTTATTCTTTTAATTTTATCAGATATATATATATCTTGTATAGCACAGGATGATTTCAAAATCAGGATGCCCTGCCTTAGCCTTGACCTCCCAAGTATTGGGATTATAGGTATTTTCCATAATGCTCAACAGTTCTTACTTTTGCCCCCATTAAAAACAAGAAACTAAGATGTAGGTGGTTGTTTCCATTTAAATATTTATTTATTTTTATTTTGTGTGTATGAGAGTTTGCCTGCATGTATGTATATGAATACATGTATGCCTGGTGCCCGTGGAGGCTGGAAGAGAGCATTGGATCCCCCGGAACTGGAGCTACATGGGATTATGAACCTCCATGTGGGTGCTGGGAACTGAATCCAGGTCCTCTGCAAGAAGAGCAAGTGCTCTGACCCACTGAACCCACTCTCCAGCCCCATTTCCATTTTATAAATGAAGAAACAGTCCCAGAGAGGCTGCACCAAGTGTGGTTGAGCAGTAACTACCATCCAAGGATCCTGATAGGCATGGAACCGCAGTGCATGAGATGTATCCAAGTGTAGGTTTATTTGATACGTTATAAATTGTGTCTTTATTTTGCATGTTTTTTTTTTTCTCCCCTGAGGGAGAACAAAGGCAGAAGTATATTTTAGAACCTGGGCTGTGGGACCTAGGTGATTTCTAACCTAATTCATTTCTGCAATTAGCGATTGCATAGTTTTCATTTTCTAAGCTGTTCTCCTTGCTATCTTGAGACCTCCTGTGGTTAAATTTATTCAGAAGTTTAGAAGGGGACATGCATGTAAGTTGAGCATGATTACAGCTGTAAAGGGCCTTGAGCAGGGCAGGTACTGTGGACCCGCATCCTGTTTTCACTGGCTTGGAGGTGGCTTGGTGCTCCATGGCTGGTAGTATGCAGGTGAGCATGGACTTCACAGCACAGAGGCTGTAAGGGACTGTTGTTCTTAATGTAACCAAAGTTACTGGCTCCTGGCAGGCTAGGACAGGCCAGGTCACTGATCCTGTGTGCCAGTTAGAGAAGAGTAATGGTGAAAAGCAGAGAGAGGGGATAGAGACGATGTGGGCACATTAGGAAGAATGAGTACAGAGCCTTGTGATCCCCAACCTACTTCTCTTTAAGAATTGGGAGCCGGGCCCAGAGGCATGCAGTCCTGCTTATGTAGTCTAGTTGGTCATTGTCTCAGTTCTGGTTCTACATTGTGGTCTGAAGATTTCTTTATTGGTTGAGGGGACAACAAAGCAGTTCTTGACTGAAGATCTGGGGAATGGCCTCACCTGGGGATACGGGTGACTGTGGGTTTAAGACAATAACTCACTTAGCCCTGTGCCTTCAGTCTTCATGGGGGACCAGCTAGGTTAGGTGGATGGTCACTCTGTAGTCATCCAT